AATCTGTCTACCACGTCTGTCCCTTCTCCTCCTTGGTACCAAAAGGTTGATGTTGTCGTTGAGAGGGAAAGGTGGACCACAGCTTCTTGATCTAGACCTGGTGTTCATACACCGGAAATCACAAACAGAACTTGAAAGGAATCAGTAAAAACAAGAAAGTAAGCACTTGATCTCAAGAACAGATCAGAGCTTAATGCTAAACAAACCACAATTTGGTAACGGCGCCAATTGATAGATAAGACTTTTTAGAGTCTCAGGGCTATCAATCCCCTTGTCAAAGTAGCACAAAGAGGTTAATCAATCCAAGAATGTGGTGATAGACACTAAGCTATATGATCAAGTTCTTAATTCAAGCAAACAAGAGTGGGTTTTGGTTAACTAATGACAACTAACAAACTAAACAGGTTTAAAAGACTAATGACAATGACTAATCAAGAACTAAGCAATGACAAATGATGTGAATATGATATGATGGAGGCATGAGATTCTAGACATGATAGTTGGTTAGGGTGCTTTGGTGCTAAACTAGAAATGCTAATGACAATGATGAGACATGATTCAAATGATTAAGAACTCAAATCTAGGCTAATCCTCTCATGAAGGTATTAACCCCTATACTAATCCATTTTCAAACCAAATTCCCATTTGTGAAACATGAATTAGTATGCATTAATAAACAGTTCTAAATGATCATTCAAGCAAATAACAATACATCATCATGCAGCAAATGCTTAAACCTCTAATACAGCTCTTTCAGGAATTTCATCAAACACTTTTGGTGCATGAAATTCCCAGAATCTAGATCTCAAGTGATATGCAAGGATCTAGCATAGAGAACAGTTGTTTAGAGAGATAAATCAATAAATCTAGCCCTAAGCACTCTTAATCTAACACTTTAGCACCCTAACCTACACATCTAGAACCTCATTAAGGTGACTACTCACTAATCATACTTATCTCTCTTAAACCTTTGCAAGTTGAGAAGATTGGAATGATTAATGATGAGAAATGGAGATGGAGATGATAGATTAAGAGGAAAAACAGCTTTAAACACAAAAATCTCTTAAACTCTCTTGATTAAACACTCAAATATCGATATTTCTGTTCTTGATGGAGTCTTTTCACAAAAGAGGCAAGAGACAAAGGGAATAAAGCTTAGTCTTTGGGAAATAACCCTAAAAACTATTTATATGTCTCTAAAAACGAACCGGGTCAGCCCGGAACAAACCGGGTCCTGACCCGGCTTTAGTGGGTAAATTGGAGAATGTGCGAGTTGGTCAAGTGTCTCCCAGGTCGCATGCCCAAGTCGCACAGGTGAAGAAACTGTCTTGTGAGACTTAAATCCTTTGGTCTTAGCCGCACGCCTAAGTAGATGTGTTTTGCGAGTCTTTGTGCAGCTTAATCTTCTTCTTCTTCAACCCGCATGACCAAGGCGAAATCTGGGGAAAGTACATGTGCGACTTGGTCATCCCTTAGTCCCAAGCCGCATGCCCAAATCGCACAACCAAGGAGAGGAGCTTGAACGAGATAGAACCTTGTAAACTCAGCCGCATGCCCATCCAGGTGTGAATTGCAAGTCTTTGTGCGGCTAAGTCTTCTCTGATCCTTAACTCGCACGACCATGTAGCAGGGACCTACAAAGATGTGTGCGGCTTAGTCTCCAATATTCCCAGGTTGCAGGCTCAAGTCGGTGTAGATTGCGAACGTCCGTGCGGTTTAGTTCCAAGCGCGGCCAACTCACATGCTTAAGTCGCACGGTTGTGGACTTAGCATTTTTCTTGCTCGGGAGCCTCATACCTTATCCAGTGATAGCTTACCCGCACTTCTCAACTCGCAGCTCAACTTCCAGGCATTCATCTTGAGGCCTTGCGAGTTAACCAAGTCGCAAGACTATCTCGCAGCATTCAGCGTAGCTTGGATCACTTCGCATTCAGGGAGGCGTAACTTCCAGGATATTGGTCCGAATTGTGTGATTCCGGTTTCAGAGGACGGAAGACTCATATATCTTCAACTTTGGTGAAGGAACCTTCGGTGCTTGGGAAGTGGAAGGTTTCCTGGAGGGCTCATCTTCGCAGTGCATTGACACGATCAGAAAGAGGCTTCTAGACATGTGTCCATTCCGGAAACGTTATCTTCTTGATCATAGCTCCGAATTGAATGATCTCGGACGTTCTGGAAAGAGGACTCAATTATCTCGGGTTCTGATGAAAGCCCCGTAAACTGAATCGGTCTGGAAGTGCACCGTCCTTCGCATTCTTCGGAGCTCATCGGGTTGGTCCAAAACGGCAGCGAGAAAGGAGTTTCTTCCGACGAGCTTAACTTTCTGCTCACGCGTCCGAATTCCATGATTCCACTTGCTCTGGAACCGTGATCCAATCTTCTCCAACGTTGATGAAGCACCCGACAGCTGAATCGGACTGGAAGATTCCCCGGACAGGCGATTTCGGAAATGTGTCTGCACCCGAAGATTTTGGCCGAGGAATCCACCCGCGGTACGTGAGAATGGCCGAGAAAACCTTCCTGCGGTACGTGAGAGTGGCCGAGAACCTCCAAAAACCCATTTTCACCATCTTTCAAGTCCTGGTTGCCATTTCTCTTCCTGGATCCATCTCTCCAACTCCAAATAGCTCCAAATACACCTGATAAACACTCAAAACATGCAAAGACTCATTGGGACCTAATGCAACTCCTAAGTCCTAAAACAAACCCTAAGGACCTAAATTTCATGAAATAAGATATGATTTGGAATGAAATATACAACCTAAATGATGCAAATTATGAACATATCATGAAGAGACCGAAACCTTACAAGCTGCAATGGCTGAATGAGGCAGGAGAAATAGAGGTCAAAAATGAAGTTATGGTGCCATTGTCGATAGGCAAATACAAAGATGAGATTGTGTGTGATGTCTTGCCTATGGATGCGGGGCATATCTTACTTGGGAGGCCATGGCAATCAGATAGAAGGGTTACACATGATGGTTTCACCAACCGTTATTCATTTGACTATCACGGCAAAAAGACTACCTTGGTACCATTAACTCCTCAAGAAATTCAGCAAGATCAGATCGCTATGAAGAGGAGTAAAGTGCAAACTAACTCAGCAAACTCTCCATCTACAAGCCTCATGATCACTAAACCAAAGGGAAGTCTAATCCCAAACTTTCTGTTGGTTTTTAAAGAATGTTTTAATCTAAATATGCCAATGTAGGATATTCCTAGCAAGATTAAACTACTTTTGCAGGAATTCAAAGACGTATTTCCAGAGGAGAATCTGCAAGGCTTGCCACCAGTTAGAGGCATTGAGCATCAGATCGATTTTATACCTGGAGCTTGTGTGAGCCAAAACTCGCACAACCAAAAATTTGTAAGAAAAAACTAAGGGATCCGAAATTTCTAGGGTAATCGCAAGAACGGTAAGATCAAAAGAGGGTTTTATTGCTGTGAAAGTGTTCAGATCTTATTGCTTAGGGTTGCAAAAAGTTACAGAATGAATTGTATACATCGTCTATTTATACTAATTCTCTGAACCGCCTAGCCGAGAATCTCGGGAGAGATTTTCGGAATATTTCCTTATCGCCTCGTGCGGCTCACTGCCTTCATATTTTGCCTAGGGTTTCTATGGGCTTCGTCTCTCGAGGCCTTGGCTCAGCCCAATTGTGGAAGGAAGTGGCTCGGCCCATTCTCCTTCACATGCAGCTCGGCCCACTCACTTTCTTGCACAGCTCGACCCGTTCGCTCCCTTGCACAGCTCGGCCCACTGAACATACTTACCGCGGCTCGGCCTACTTGTTCCTCTTCACAGCTCGGCCCGTTTGTAATGTCGAGCACGGCTCGGCCCACCTTTCTCATGTGAGAGCTCGGCCCACAATTGAGTTCTCCTGCGAACCGGTTTTCTCTGATACTTGATCTTCCTCGGGATGGTTGATCCGCTTGGGGTGGAAACCGACCCCAACAGTTAGCCCCCCAGCTCGTCAGTTTTGGAGACGAGAGTGACGAGGTTCATTACTCCTGATCGTAGGATAAACCATCGAGTCAGGCCGTTGCGATGTAATTCCAGGTGAGGCATTTTGGAAATAAAGATGCCGAGGCGTTTTCAAAGGGTGTCAAGGTGTTTCTTGTTCAATAACACCGAGTCATGGTTCAAGGCAACGATGAGGGGATTCTGCTTGATAGTGCCGAGCCATGTTAAGGACGAGGCGATTTTGTTTAGTAACGCCGAGCCGTGATTCAAGTTAACGACGAGGCGTTTATGTTGGTAATGCCGAGCTGTGATTCAAGTTAACGACGAGGCGTTTATGTTGATCATGCAGAGCCGTGATTAACGACGAGGCGTTTATGTTGATCATGTCGAGCCGTGATTAACGACGAGGCATTTTTCAGAGATAGTTACCGAGCCGTTTCGTGTTAATGATAACGGCGAGGCGTTTTACGTCAGTAATGTCGAGCCGTGCTTCAAGGTAACGACGAGGCGCTTATGTGTTTCAAGAGGGTTGCCGAGCCGTTCCGCGTCAGCGATAACGACGAGGCGTTGTTATGAAATTTGTCGAGCCGTAACAACAAAGCATGGCTCGGTTCACGCAGCTTAATGAGATATTCTCAGGTAACCATAGCTGTGTCGTGGGCTCGATTTACCTGGACAGAGCGGCTGTTAGTATCCTGAGTGTTAGCGTGTTTGGCGGACGCGTGTTTAGCGGACGCGCCAAGAGGTTACGTATTCGCCGCGAACTTCACGCGCCCTTTTGAACACTTCTGCGTCGTCTCGAGGTCCACGCGGATTTCACGCGCTTCGGTTATGCTATAAATAGGTGAGCTCCTTAATTCCTTCTCATAATCTTCAGATCCCTCGTTTTCAGTAAAAGGTAGCTCTCCCTTCTCTCTTCTTTCTCTCTCTAGTTTATTTATTTTCCGGCTAGGGTTCCGAGGTCTCCGCCGTCTCAGATCTTTTTCCGACGAAAGTTTGCCGCGTAGTATTGTGTTTTCCGTACCAGCTGTAGATCATGTCGAACCGTTCTGATGATTCGCTAGATTCGCTTTTTAATTACGAGCCGAGCAATGCAGACGCCGAGGCGAGAGGTGTATCAGGATCCTCCGAAGCGTCTATCTCGCTGAGCCCTTCCAACCGTTCACCCGAAAGCAACGAGGCGTCGAATCGTTCAAATCCATCAGACGCTCGCTCTCCAGATGACGAGCCGTCGGTTTCGACGAGCCGCCCTCAGGGTCCCGCTCTCGACAAAGATGTTAATCATGCCGCAGTGAAAGCCGAGGAGGAAGCTTTTCCCTTTGATTTGTTCGAGGCAAAGTGTGAATTAGAACGTGTCATGGCGTCCCGAGGCGCTTCTTCATCTGGGCGAGGGAAACGAGTGAAAAGACAAAAACCTGACCCGCCCGGTTCTACGCTCTCCTCCCCTGACTCACTCGAGGCGTTGAGATGTCGTTTCAGGATATCCGAGGCGGTAGAATTTGTCCTTCTAGAGAAGAATGACCGAGCCGACAAACCTCCTGAGAATCACTTTACTCTGTACGAGGCGTTCTATGAGCTTTGTTTTCTCTGGTTCCCGATCCCCGGAGTTATCCTTGAGTACCTCTGGAAACATGGGATCTCAATCGGGCAGATCATGCTGAGGGGTCTGCGGCACATGATCGGCATTTTGGTTCAAAGCTTTGAATGCGGGCTCGATATTGAACTGAATCACCTGCTAAACTTGCTGGAAATCAGGAAAGCTCCGAAGGGAGATAGATTCTATATTTCCAACAAGCCCAACCGCCGGATTATAGGTGGCTTTCCAAGCAAGGATCAGTTCTGCACCGAGCGCTTTTTCTATGTCTTTGTGAACGAGGCGTCAGTTGGCGAGGACTACGTTCACAAAACCAAGACCGCTTGGGGAACACTTGATCGGAAGCTTTGCCTCGGCTCGGAACTATTTATCGTATGTATTTCCCTTACTGAGATGATTGTTCTCGTGTTGTTTTTGCAGTTCGGAACATTCTTCCTCCAATTCCCGACGACCTCTTTGTTGTTCGAGATTCTCTTGCGGCTCGGAAAGTTAATTGGAGGAAGCATTTTACATTTGAGAGAGTGGAAACGGCGCGAGCTATTCTTGCCGGCGTTCCTGTCAGCTCTTCATCTTCCAATTCCTCAAGAGACACAAGAGAGAAAATGGTGATCATTACACTTAGAGATAAGAAGAGTTGCGAAGAAGAAGAGGCCGTGAGACGAGCCGCTGAGGCGGCTCGAACGGAGGCCGAGGCTGTTCCTTAGGACGTTCTGCCGAGCCGTGATGGTGAGGGCGCGTTCGAGGCTGTGGGGGAGCACATTTCTGAGGTGAATGAGAAGGAAGTGGCGCCCGAGGTGGAACCGGGTGAAATTACTCCCAAGGCGCCCAAAGACGACTCCGCGGCGCGGAGTAAAACTCCTTCCAACTCTGCCATTTTGGCTCTTCCGAAGTCGTCGAGGCCCCCGGCTTCGCAGCTTCAGAAGCATGATTCTAGCCGAAAACATTCGGCTGCTGATAAGGGGAAATGCGTGGCTATCCAAAAGGACGAGCCGGCAAAAAAGAAGCGCAAGCAGGCTCCCGGTGACCCCGCTGCACGCAAACTGGTCGTCGACGATGATAACACCGTATTTTGACCACTTTTATGGACCATAATTGTGTCTTATGCAGGTGTTTTAACTCTGTTTTCAATGTTTTTAAAGTGTTTTCAATTTTTTAGAGTTTCAAAAGACTTTACAGGAAATTTGGGCAAAAGATATGCAATTTGAAACAAATGAGCAATTTTGGATAAATGCAGACCGTCAGAAGTATGACAAGCGATGAAGACCTTATCACCGTCTGATCACCCCCAACATTTTAGACAACATAGAGGATCCAACCAGCTTTCTAATGCACTTGGTTTGGAGACAATCCAACGGTTAGATCTTCAGATACTCTCGATGCAAGAATGACAGAAAATGCAGTTCCGGAAGAGAGCAGGTGCCGGGACCGCGGCCAACACCCATTTTCCCGTGGGTAGAGCCACCGCGACCGCGGACTTTGGTCGTTCACTTTCCCGACGACTTAATTAAATCCCTGATCAATTCGTTTCGTTATTTTTGAAGCCCTAAGTGTCCACAACCACCCCAGAAGCTATAAATACCCCCTTTAGGTCATTCCTAAAGGTGTGGAGACGACATAAGATAAAAATAGAGAGAGAATTCGTGTGGGTGCTTCAAAAACCCTAGAGGCCGCCGCTTGAAGGATGAGGAGCCGCCGCTGGAGGAAGACATCGCGCCTCCATCTGCTTCTCCGTTCTTTGTTCTTCTTCCTTCTTTTCTTTAGTTTCCTGCACTTTCAATTTTGTTTATGATGCTTTGTTACAATATGTTTGAGTAGTTACCCAGTTGGGTTTAAAGGGATTATTCAAAGGGAATTTCATGTGTCTTTGCTTATGAATCGATAGATTTAGGATTTATAATCTTCTATGTTCTTCGTTTGCCTTTAGTCTTACTGCGTGATTCTTTGCTGGCCACTTAGAAGCCGATCTGATATGATATGTTGCGAAAGCTTTCATTGATTGTCTGAACTAGGGTGAAACGAGCAAATCTTCTATAGGAGTGGAAACCTACCTGTAGTTGAGTTGTGAATATTGATGAGTCTTGTTCTGCTATTGCATCTTCTCCCTTCCAGAATCAGAGTGCAAACCTACTGATTAGGGTTGCGAGAGATAGTTGTTTAGTGCTGCGAGAGTAGGCTATTCATACTTCCGTGCCTCGAGTTCTAGAACATACGTAATTGATTACCTTTATCACTTGTTTAAAATCGGCCTAGCATAGACTATGAACCCCTGCGAAACCCCTTGAGCCCTAATGTTTGTCTTTCATTGCTTACAACCTTTGCTTCTTATTCGATTTTTCCTGCTTTCAATTTGTCTTTGATTTATTCGCTTATTACCTGTTTTCATTAGCCTTAGTTTAATCGCTTTGTACTTGTTTTAATTGCCTTCAATTGCTTTTGTTTTCTTTGCTTTCTAGTTTAGATTTAGTGACAACCAAAACCCAAAACCAAAACCTTTTTAGTTCTAATCTGATTTAAGCGTTACAGTGAATTCGTACTGAAACAACTAAGTCTCTGTGGATCGATACCCTAAGTACTACAGCGCACATCTGTGCACTTGCAGACATTTAGGGGTTATAAATTTTAAACCTGAAGCTTAGTAAAATGAAAACAAACAACCCCGCTTTTGCTCGCATCAAGTTTTTGGCGCCGTTGCCGGGGACTTTGATTTGTTTCATTGCGAATCCCAGCTTAAATCCATTAAAACACTTGTTTACTTTTACTTTTTCTTTTGAATTTTTCAGGTTCTGCAATGAGAGAACGGGAACATGTTCCCGGAACTCTTGGTGATCCACCAAATCGTGTGGATGGTGATCCAAGCGATGATGACCTGACTGCTGATGAGTTTGAAGAACCGATTTGTGATGACAATGAGCTAATCGGATCGGTCAAACACAAAGATGATGATGAACTGATTGGAAGTTTCGATTCACTCGAAAAGTTCATGGGAGATTGAAGAGCTATTCAACCAGCCTTACCAGAGGATGGCAAAACCGAAATTAAGGTACCCCATATCCATTTAGTTCAACAAAATCAATTCTCTGGTTATTCATTCGAAAACCCGATAGACCATATTGAGACGTTCGAAGAATTATGTGCAACCATTACAGCAAATGGGGATTACCACAAGTGTAGTCTTTTCCCATTCTCTCTTAGAGATAATGCCAGCAAATGGCCAAAATCTTTGCCACCTGCTTCACTAAAAACGTGGGCAGCGTGTAGAACTGCTTTCCTAAATCGTTTTTACACTAGAAATCGTTCAAATCTCCTGAGAAAGAAGATAAGAACTTTTAAACAAAAAGAAGATGAAGATCTTTTAGATACTTGGGAAAGGTTTAGAGAATACCAAAGAGATTGTCCACACCATAGATATGCCGAGGAATACCTGCTAGGTATCTTCTATCGCGGTATAACTCCAGAGTTGCGACACTCTTTTGATATAGCAAGTAATGGAGATTTCACAACTAGATCTGTAGAAGATGCTCACGTTTTCATTAAAAATTTAGGAAACAGCATCCGAAATCAAGTAACCTTTGGTAATTCTGCACTTCCTGAGAAGAAAGGAGAAATTTTGGAAGTTATGAAGTGTCTCCGTCACATAATGAGTCATCTTGGATTGCAACAACCAAATAGGGTACACAATACGTGTAACTTTGATGGTTGGGACAACCCAATGGATTCTTATGGTCAAGGGATGGTTAACACTGCAGAAGTCTATCAAATTCAAGATTTTCCATTTGTTTCTGATCACCGCGGGTCCATTCATCCGGACCGCGGCCAAGCAAGGTTTCACCGCGGTCGTGGCTGTTCTGACCGCGGCTAAGACATGTTTCACCGCGGTCGCGAGCCCTCTGACCGCGGGAAACCGTCTTCTGAGCTTGGTTGGAAACCAACTTCCGAACCAATCTTGGGTATTCAATCTAATCCTGTTTCATATCCTAGTTTTCCCTCTTCTGAAGATGAAAACCTAAACAAAAAGAATTTAGAGCTTGAAAAATCTATGTCTCAAGATATTAGTGATCTTAGATCTGAACTAAAAGAGATGCAGAAGGATTTCGATACCCTCCTTAGCCTAATGATCAAAACTAATTCGAAAATCTTAGAAAATTCTGAGGAGGAGCCAAGTGAAAAATCTTTCGAAAGCTCAAGCGAAGCAGATCCCTCCGATCATGTGAAAGCTATCACCTAAGGAGTGGATTAGCTTACAAATAGCCTGAATTTCCTAAAGATCCCGAAGTTGAGGAAAAAGGTAAGGAAAAGGAAAAAAAAAGAGAAAGAATCACAGTTGAAGATGCTGCAAAAGAAGTGGTAGGAGAGAAGGATGGAGAAGAAGTAAGAGAAGATTCATCCCGGGAAATCCTCGGAGAAGACCCTATTCCACCTCCACCAACTCGTGTCTATAAACCTAAACCTCCATATCCTAGAGCCTTAAGAGCCCCTAAGAAAGAAAAAGAAAAAGCTAAGCTGAAAGAGATGATCGATCAATTAAATGTGAGATTACCTTTCGTAGAAGCTTGTGCTATGATTCCTGCTTTAAGAAAATACATGAAGGGTATTCTAACAAATTCTTTAACTATTGAAGAAGGCGTTATGATGATAACCCATGAATGTAGTTTTATCCTGCAAAGCGGAATCCCTGAAAAGAAAAACGATCCTGGAAGCTTCGTACTTTCATGCACCATCAATGATGTAGCTTTTGAGCGTGCTCTCTGTGATTTAGGATCTAGCATAAACATGATGCCTCTTTCAGTAGCAAAACGTTTAGCACATCACACTTTCAAGCCTACTAAAATTTCTTTAGTACTAGCTGACCGTTCTGTTAGACAACCCGTAGGTATCCTAATAGATGATCCTGTAGAAATCAAAAAATGTTCCATACCTACCGATTTCGTAGTTCTAGAACTAGAAAAAGAACCTAAGGATCCACTTATTCTTGGAAGACCATTCTTATCTACAGCCTGAGCCATAATCAATGTTCCTGAAGGAAAAATTGACCTTCATCTAGCCGGTTCAGTTATGCAGTTTGACATGAACAAAAGTTTCGATAAACCAACTTTGGATGGCAAAATTTGTTGGGTTGATGAGTTAGACGGAATTATTGAGGAAGGCTATGAAGATCTGCTTCTAGACGACCCTTTAAGTGTCACGCTTTCACCCGCAAAAGATGAACGCAATTTCCTTGAAGAAATTTCAAGTGAATGCGCACGTATGCTTGATAAATCCAAAAATTATAGGAAACCTCTAAACTATCTAGATCTTAGGGACCAAACAAACATTCCAACACCTCCTAAAGACACTGCTGCAGCAATTAACGATCCTTGGAGCGAGCTTAAAGCCCCTAAAGTTGAGCTTAAACCTCTTCCCGTCGGACTTAAGTACGCTTTCCTTGGACCAAATCCTACTTATCCTGTCAAAATAAACTCTGGTTTGACGGAAGAAGAAACCACAATGCTGTTGACTGAGCTGAGAAAGCATAGAAAAGCCTTAGGATATTCACTTGATGACATACCTGGAATCTCTCCAGATCTTTGTATGCACAAGATTAATCTAGAGGATAATGCTAAAAACTCAATCGAAAGTCAAAGGAGACTGAACCCTAATCTCATGGATGTTGTCTAGAAGGAGATTATGAAGCTTTTAGAAGCTGGAATAATCTTTCCTATTTTAGATAGCACTTGGGTTAGCCCAGTTCATCTTGTTCCGAAGAAAGGAGGAGTCACTGTCATTAAAAATGATAAAGATGAAATGATCGCTACAAGAACAGTAACTGGACATCGTATGTGCATCGATTACCGGAAACTGAATGCAGCAACTAGGAAAGATCATTTTCCTCTTCCCTTCATAGATCAAATGCTAGAAAGATTAGCTAATCACCCTTACTATTGCTTCCTTGATGGATACTCCAGATTTTTCCAAATTCCTATTCGCCCGGAGGATCAAGAAAAAACGACATTCACTTGTCCATATGGCACGTTTGCTTACAGACGTATGCCTTTTGGACTGTGTAATGCACCTGCTACCTTCCAGCGGTGCATGATGTCGATCTTCACAGATTTTGTTGAGGATTTCATGGAAGTATT